TGAGGCTCCGTCTCAAAAAAAAAAAAAAAAAAAAAAAAGAAATCTGGTTATTCATTCGATAACTGTTTAGCATTTCTGTGCCAGACATTTCTAAGTACTTGGTCCAGAGTAGTGAACCAAACAAAGCGCCTGACTGAATGAAGTTCACGTTTTGGTAGGAAAAATGAATGTACTTTGGTTGGTGTCAGATATATGCAAGATCAGTGTACATGTTAACTAAATATCACATACAGGTTGACAGTCTGGTTTTAGCAATGCTTTCTCTACCTTAGTAAGGAAGAGAGCATGAAGAAGTGAATGTTAGTGTCTTATACTTCTGCAATGTCAGTGATTTTTATTGAATTTTATGGTTCAGGAATCTAGCTGATAGACTTTAATAGCAGGTCCATTCATTGGTAAATACAAAATATTCAACCTTGCCTATAACAAAGTAGTAATTGGGTTCTTAAAGCAGAGTTTAAAAAATTGGTTAATGACAGTTTGTATCAGTGACAGTGATTTATTTCTCATTTATAAGTAGTTTTGTACCCTGGATTTGAGAGTGTGGCATGTTAGAAATCATTTAAGTATCTAGAAAATGTGTTTCTCCTTCTTCAAGACCAGTTATGTCTCTAGCTATGTTGAGGGGAGCTGACCCTGTTAAAGGCCAAGACTGTTGGGAAGATACGTAGTACATGGGAAACAGATAGATAGGATAGGTAGTTTAGATAGATAGATAGGCCAAACCTATTGGGAGAATCTGTTGTCATAAGGGAAATTTATGCAGTCTCTACATTTGCCTCTTACTTGTCTTTGCAACTTTTTTCTTGCTCTGTCACACAACCTAGAATGCAATGGCATCATTATACACAGCTCACTGCAACCTCAAACTCTTGGGCTCAAGGAATCTTCCTTGCCTCAGCCTCCCAGATACCTGAGACTATAGGCTCATGTCACTGTGTCTGGCTAATTTTTCTATTTTTGCTAGAGACAGAGTCCTGCTTTTGCTCAAGGTTGTGCTTTTTTTCTTTTTTAAAGTTATTCTGATACTTAGTAAG